GCCATTGCAACACAAACACCTTTTAAAAGCACTTTTCTTTAGAAAGCAATATGTAGAGGCTTAGACTAAAGTTTCCTCTTCAGCCTCCTCCACTGCAAAGTAGTATTTTCCACAGTTACAACGTGCCTAAAACAGGTTTATGTTTAAACTTGAGTAAAGAATCTCTATATCAATGAACACTGCTTCATTTCCATAATACTGCATAAAAACTGTTTACCAACTTAGCTTATGCTACCATGTTTTTATCATAACTTTCAGTGTACAAGTTTATCTAAACTCCCAAGCACTTTCTAACTGCCTATGTGACATCAACTGTTCAGCATTTGCTCACAACACTTGACCATACATAGTCTTCTTGGAATTAGTCAACAATAGCAGCAAATCTCTCACATAATGAAACAAGTGTTCTCGTACACTCACGTCAGCTGTAACCACATGTATGAAGCTTTCCTTGTATTTGGGAGAAAACCACCAAACACCCAAAATAAAACAAATTATCTGCCCTCTCTGTAAAGAGCAAATTGTATGATGAATGCTTTCACAGCACGTCAGATCTGTGAACATGTCCTTTGATCTGATCCTACACAGATCTTCACACAGATAGACCCTTATGCTCACAGTTACTGACCCCAGGACAAGCATAACAGCCATATTTATGAAGTCACATGCAAAATCTAGGGTCCTCACTATTCAATATTGCAGCTTAAAGCATGAATTTACTCTTACTTCTTAGATTCTAGATCAAAGCAACACAAATGCTTATAAGATCAAGACACAAGACTTCATTTCTTTCCATCAGCTTCATACAGCACGCATCACGAGTGCTTGCCCTTAACTTATCTCCAAGGCAATCATGCAATACTTAGTAGCAACAGTTGTTAACCTTATTTCAGAGTAAGCATTTATTTCAGAGCTCCTGTAATTCCGATTCAACATTTAGAGTCTCGCATCTACGCTAACAGAGACTAACTTTCACGTCCACGCTTTTACACCATAGTCATGGCTGCAATTCCTGCTCTTCACGGGTGTCTCTTTCGTTTGCGCTAGTTCTTGCACAGAGCATTTTACTTTCAAAGCAAGCTGCATCTCCCAAGCCTCATATATTTACAGAAAATACAAGCAGGTGGGCAGAGCAACTTTGAAGTTCATGCCTGGTGTGGCAAACAAGCCCAATACCCTGATTCATAATGAACTTAACCAACTGCCTGAGAAACCAGCACCTTCTAAAAGCTCCAGTCCCTCTCTGCCTATGGAAGTGAAAATTGTTTGAGCAAGTTCGTACTCAAGCTCATCAACCTGGAGACGGTGTTTCATGCCTCTTATCCCACAGGTTATTTAGGATTCTTTTTTTCTTCCTATTTATCTAGATGACAAAATAGTTTTGATGTCCGTGTTCAGTTATTCTTCCCTAGCACTTGCATGTTAGTCTGACTCTCCCCATGAGAAACTGGGTACTAAACTGAGCATTTTTACCCAGCCAATGCTACGATTAGTATTTGTCCTTCCACAACACTTTAGGAAAAAAAATCATACAGCTACACATGAGAGTATAAAGCTTTCCTTGGAAAAATACTCTCTGACTTCAGTAAAGGGTGAAAACAGACTCAAGCTGTGTCAAGAATAATGTTCATGTGTTTTAGGAGCATCAAAACCAAGTAACAACCTATACACCTGTGTTAAATGTAGTTACATCTCAAAAAGTCTGTGAAATCTCAGTTTTATTCAAGAAGCAGAATCCTGGGCCACTGACACAGCAATAGAAAAGGATGAAGCAGCTTCACTTTTCATTGAAGGAAAAGGTGAGCTCAGCATGAAATCAAGAGCCACAAATGGCAGCTACAAGACTGAATTTGATGGGAAAAATAAATGATTTTACAAAATTCACTAAAATAAGTAATTCATTATTAAAAAGCAAACATTTTGCTCAAAACAAGAAGGAACTGAATATACAGTGAAATACAAGTCTTGCAGCAAGTTCTAGTGGTGACAGTACTCTTGAAGAACCCAGTATAATACATTTCTAGAAGACAAAAGTAATGAAATTAACTTGAAAGAATGCCATGAATGGACAAGTTATTAAGGAGCTCAGATTTCCTTAAAACAGCAAACCAAGGCATTTTCAGAGACACCAGCTTCTTTTTAACAGTAAAGAACATTTCATATCAATTCTAAATTTCAACCTAACCTATGGTATTCAAAACAGGCTCTCAGACTACATTGGTTATTCTTCCCCTTCTGACTTCAATATTAAGGCAGTTATAATTGTTAAAGTGTTGCATCCCTAATAACCTAATACACAAGGATACTGAGCACTAGGCATATTTTGCATTTCCATTCTCAGTCAGTGCAGTGAGCTCTTAGCAGAGATCAGGTACAGACTCTAGGCATCCTACACGATTGTCCTTCTAACAGGCAGCCAGGATATGGCTGATACCTCCAAAAAATTTAGACTATATTGGCTTTGGCAGCACCAATCAGACTGTGACACAAGACAAAAACTGAAACTCCACTCTTTCATAGCAGGACAGAGCTGCATCACATTTTCAAGGCAAAACAATGTTCTTAACTGTATAAAAGAGTTGAACATTGTTGAACTTCATCAACAGACCTAGCTGAGCCAGCACCCAAGCTCTCCACTGTAACAACCTTCACCCCTGCTTTTTAACCAGGGATAATTTTACTGTTGAAGGCATTCAAAGGTTCAACTTACAAGGCTCTATTCATGCTCATAGCTAATCTGGCAGATCTAGTGAAAGCATCATTTGTGTTCTTCACACCAACAGATAACACCACATTTGCCCAAGGAATAAACAGGAAGAGTTCTACTGACTATCACTCAGTTTGATCTTCTGTTAAGTTGCATACAACACAGTCCCTTCCCAACACCTTTTATATTCAGTTAGTCCTGCTGGGATCAGCAGCTCCCATGCTGCGTGCCCAAGCCAAAAGTTGCATTTGGGTGGCAATTCAAAATACTCCTTTGAAGTAACTTAGGTTTCCAGACCAAAGTATGCCTCTTCCATGACTCAGCATGGATTCACTTTGCCCTCTGTAAAAAACACAGCACCTGGTCCAAACCAACACATTACAGCTCAAGGAATTTGCAGCACCCTGTCACCCACAGGCTCAGAGCAGGAGTAGAGCAACCCCTTATCAACCACCACCACATGATATGGATGTTTCTGTCAGGAGTACACAAACAGCTGGTCCCAGCAGCATCTATTAGATGTTTTGCCAGGTAAGCCCTCCTTTTCCACAGGGGAAGAGTTTTGTTGGAGGGACAGATGCTCAGGGTTGTTAGTCATTGTTCAAGAGTTTTGCTCAGTAGTTACCTTCAATGTATAGCTTAAGAGGTTCTGTAACAAAGAAATATGTTTTAGAAGAGCTCAGGTGTTTCTTTCCTATCCTTAAATTACTACTGTGGTAATACCAGCAGTACACATGAGGTAAACTCACCATGATCTATTAGCAGACACCTTGTCTACACTATATAATCCATTCCTTGGAATGTTACAAACTGAAAACAGTGCTTCTTCCCATAAAGGCTTTCTTTGTCTCTGTTGTATTTCAGACCAGAATTATGCTACACAATATTTTAAATTAAAGCAGATAGAGTTCAAAGTTAGTCCAGTTCAATAGGCTAATAAACAAAGAGGTCATTGGACTGCTGGCTTCATAGCCTGCATAACTTTAGAGTTAGCACATAGGAGAGGAGGAAAAGGAAGAAGTCTGTTTTATTCAAAACCAGACGAGTATCAATAAACACTTTCCCCTCCTCCCTCCTTCTATTGCTTCCTGCCATCCTCTCCCACTCATCCAGCACCAACATCCTCTGGTTGTGTCTGCCTTCTTTACAGAGCACTCCACAGGGTAAGGCATCAGGTTTAGAGCTGTTAGACTGTTAGCAAGTTAGACTCTGTTCTTGTCCATCACAAAATACTACAGCTATTCCAACATCTCCAGTAATGGACTGAAATCATATTAAATAAAAACACCGCTATGTTTGATAGAGAACAGAAGCTCAGTAGCTCAGTAAAGAAGATCTAAGCTGATAAGATGAAAGACATCGCCACAGAGCAACAGAAGTCAGCTACCAGCTTACCTTTCAACTGAGGCAGTGCCACACACACATAAACCCCCTGGTTCACAAACTGCTTTTTAGTTTACAGTTCATGTTGAACAAGATGGACCAAAATCAGACACAGTAATGACATATTTCAGAATCCTGTAGAGATCCTCAAATGTATTAAAAATTATCCAAAGATTGACAAGATAAAATATAGAAATTTAAGTGAAGCATCACCAGGTGCAAAACTTTTCTGGGCAGGAACTTTAAAGGGTTACTCCCATGACATCCAACATCAGTACCACATTTAGATCAGTGCACACTGAATTATTCATTTGGTGGATTTACCCATTAGATACAGTCAGAACTCAGATGTCTCTTAACACATGGTTCAGGCAACAAACAGGAACTGATGTCTCCAAGTATTTAGGAAAAAAGCTCCAGTACAATATGTCATTTATTTCTCAGGTGTGAGGTCTATGCACAGACATTTCTTTCATCTTCACTCACTGTCAGTGAAAAGATATCATGACCAATACCCATTTCCAGCACTGACACCAGCCTAAAGGATTTATATCAGCTAGCAAAACTGACTTCAGCTGGTACTCACGTCTGTGCATTTTTTGTGGACTATCATCCAAGCCTACCACACATTCTTAAACACAGGCTGTTAATAAAAAATGCACATGTACATGCACTAGATTTATTTCCCTTTTAAAATCATTATACATCTTTTTCCTATAAAGGAAGTTAAACAAAACAAAACAGTTAAACAAAACAATGCTAGATTGGTTAAAAACAGACATCCTGCAGGTCATATAAATACTAAGGAAAGATGGCTCTGCAGTTCAACTGCCTGAAAGAGCTACATGCTCTCAAGCTGCAGAAAGTATACTGGAGAGGAAGTCTCTGCCATTTCTGTATGCTGACCTACCAGAGTATGATGGGTCCCATCCACACTAGTGCCAGACTTCTGTGTTTTCAGTACATCACCATAATCTCCTGCATCAAAGTTAGTCTTCCACACCATCACCTGCAGAAGAAAGTTATCTCTACTAAAATTTTCCATCTACGTTTGCTTAAAGGTCAATTTTGTCAACACATTAGAGAAGAGTCAGCATATGCACCCAAAAGCTTATTTAAGAAAGCTAAAATCTATTAAATTAAGGATGTTATTTATAAACATGCTACTGAATACAGACATAGCATAGCTGAGTTCTCAATGGGGAACTGACCTCTTCCAACATTCTTTGGGTCAGGAACATCATGAAACTAGAGCTACTTAGAGAACTTCAAAGCAACATGCAGAATACACCATTATAACCAGAAATATATTAAAATACCATGCTTAGCATTATAGTACTTAGCAGCCACACCCCAAACAACTAGTCATGGTTTATCATGATATTCATTCACAGGAAAAGGAGAATTAGTACTTTGAGAACAGCATTAGAGATTTAGAGACCGTTTGTCAGCTAAACACTAAACTTAAATCCCACTTAGAGGCATCTTCTCTCCATAATGCAATATTTATTGCAGAAGAGAAAAGAGGCCTCTAACACATAAACCACTTCAACATACCAAAAGCAAATCTATGCAGTAAAATCCTTAGCAGTGGCTCCAAAAGTCTAAAAAAGGTGTACATACCCATTCCCAGATAATCCAGCTGAAGTGCTTCCTTGCTAAGAAAAGTCTATGTTTAGTATCTCTCACTATTTTTCATATTTGTTTTCTCTTTGAAAGCAGGAAAATGCCTAGAAAACAGTAACAACACACAAAACTATGAAACCAAACTAGCCACGTACCTGTTCATCAGAGCCTCCAGAAGCAAAAAAGTCTCCAGCTCTTGAAAAGGCTACACAGGTGGCTGGTCCCTGCAAACAGATTTAGAAGATAGGTTTAAAAAAAAAAAAAAAAGTGAAAGAAAACAAAGCATTGTAAAGCTCCATTCATTACAGCTTTAAAACATATTTCCCATTTGACATCAGCAATATAAAGGCAAAATTTAAAAGGCTCTTATCTGTCAGGTAAGTGGGCCACAATTAACATGCTAAGCACAATGACGCTTACTGACCATTTCCCACATTTTTGCCCCCAGTTTAAGATATCTGTTTGTCAATATCCATGGCATTAAGACAGACAGGAACAAACCAGGTTTCACAGCTTCAGGCTTTTCTTTCTTCCCTCTCAATCATTCTCACTTCCTTTTAGAATTACAAATACCTAAAACTGTTCATCTATTGAAAGCAGTGACACTGCTGAGGTTTGTTAAATGCAGCCTTCAGTTAACCACCTGATGGAAAGGTCTGAAGTGGAAAAGGAGGTTTAAACACAGAGACACACAGAGCAGCATCAAATGGCATATTGAGAAAGACTGTTAGAAGTGAAAGACCCTCACATTCACAAATCATAAGCCATGTCCTATAAAAATACAAGGTTTTTTAAGACAAATTTGAAGGGTGATGAATCTACCTTTCAGATGCCAACTGTCAAGCCTTCAGAATTTACACTTCCCAAGCTCCTCCTCACACCATGAATACTAGAACCATGAAAGGACAATGCATTCAGCCAAGATTTTCACATAATTATGGAACTCCAGGGGCCAAAACTTCAAGCATTACCCAAAAATCTTCAAGACTGACACCACAAGACAACGTATTTTATGGACAACTGGGTGCGCCAGATTCACCATGGAAACAGTATCTTTCCTCCACGTGACTTCCCAACAGCCTTTCTTTGAAAATGCAACAACTGTCACTAAGGGACAGCATAAAATACACGACTGGTAATGAAACAGTCAACAGGTAGGGCTATAGGCAAGAAGTGAAAGAATCAGTTCTCCCACAAAGGAATAGATGGTGGGTTGTTTTGGTTTTGTGGGGTTTTTTGTTGGTTTGTTTGTGGGGTTCTGTTTGTGGTTTGTTTGTTGTTTGGTTTTTTGTTTGGTTGTTGTTGGTTTTGGTTTTTTTTTAAATATACAGTCATCGCATGCTCTTCTATATATTTCTAGGATATTCCATGCAAACTACTCACTGCAGGCTTAAAGCTCTTGCACTCTCCACCATGACATAACTTCAAAATAAGCCTGACCAGCTATCAACCAAGCCTATCAATTTACATCAATTGATTTGGCCAAGGTTTGAACCATTTCAGGTCAAGGAATCTGTACAAGCAGAATATCTGAGTATGTGAGATTCAGTATTCATAGCAGAAGTCAATTACTCATTTTATTTCAGACTTGGCAGTCAAGAAGTCCACAAAGTACAAGACCACTGTTTTCAGAACAAGAGGGAGAAAAAGCCAAAGCTACTTGAGGAACACTGGAAGGAACAGGTCACTGAATGGCAGACAGAGCAGCATCAGCAGAATGTGCTGTATTTGTACATGAGCTTCTACTTAACAGTACTACAGAACACGGCAGAGCTTTGCAGGGGGCAGTTACTCTCTTTGGATACCAACCAGCAGGACAAAGAAAACACAGGGGGGACATCCAAAGCTATCAAAAGCAAAACAGTGACAGTGCTTCATATCTCCTTATACGTGTGGAGCATGCAGCCAAGCAGCAACAGAGGCTTCAAACCAAGCAGGCACCTGCAGCAGCATGGAGGATTGCAAGCAGCAGGCAGGCACTCCTCACACCACCATCGTCTGCCATTTTTAAGGTAGAGGCTGATGATCCATGCAGGTTTGTGTTAGCTGTAACTGAAGAACAGAGCCTGGCTTTCAAGCAGCGTTTCACACCACACGCCGACTTTAATACCTTTTTAAGCTTTCAGAAAGCACACAGGAGGAGGCACATGGGAAAGATGAGGCAGGTGCAATTAAACAGGGCTGGGAAATCATTACATGTGTTTGAGCACAGGTACAAGATACAAACTGCCCTGCTCAGAATAAACAGCTGAGGACACAGATTGTTAAGTTTTATGTCAGCTACTGAACATGTTACTTTGCAGACTATCCTAAGCCTAAGATTTTCCCCAAGCTGAAGTGAGCAGAGGCAGGAACAAGCACTTCCAGGGGCTGCCTATGGCCAAGTTTGCTGGGAAAGCAAGTTGAACTTGGGACAGGCTGAAACAGACAAACAACAACAAAAAAACCCCACCACAACCAACCAGCAACAGAAAAACCTCACAAAAACCAAACAACCAGAAAAGCCACAATACAACCACCACAAAACCCTACCACACAAATAGGGAGCTTCTGACCGAAGCAGATGTAAGCTCATGTATCTCAGAAGGCAGTTAAGAGGCGTCTCCTCACCCTGTACCAAGTTGCAAGGATGGACTATTCTATCAAGAGTTCACATCTTCCCAACAGGCATTGCATGGAAATCTCACATCTAGTTTGCTTCTGGTTTCCCTTCTTTCTCTCCTACTTTGTAACAGTTAACTTCTTATAAATCCTGAAGGAAGACAAATACCCAAAGATGGCATCTGGATAAACACCCAACTCTCACTGCAACCCATGTCCCACAGTCCTGCATGCTTTCACATACGCTGGTACAAGGTTACACCAGCAAAACCAGAGCCTTGATCTGGTCACTCCCAGGGTGAAGAGTTTTAGCTTCCTTAAAACACATCAAGGATGTTCCCATATTATCAGCTCACCTGCAGTGATTTCAAAAGGTTTTGAGGCCTTCTAATAGCAAGAACTCACTCGAGAGATCTTGCCAGAATTGATTTAGTAGCAGCAATTTCAAAATTCATGTGCTGTCATTAGCGTGACTAAGGTTGTTCAACTAACACAGCATTAAATAGCTCGGATATTTCAAACCAAAGACACCACCATCAATCAGCTGAGACAAAGCATGCTTCTGCCTTCTACTCCCACCCACTTTCCCCAGCAGTTCAGTTCTGGCCACACTGTCAGGAATGGAGACTCAGTGAAGAAAATGCAGAAGTAAAAGATAAATAAGCAATAAAAAAGGGCAGAAACAAGTACATAGCCAGAAAATGCAGAGTGGTGAATACTGGTCAAAGATAACAGAGCTGAGGACACAGAAGCTGCACTCTGACTGTAAGAAACCAGTCAGGGTGGGGAGAACAGAAAAAAAATGAATGTTCAAGCCACTGGTTAAGACAAAATGTTCAGGAACAAGCACAAGTGAGGAATGCTGAAGAGGAGCAATGTTTCACAAAATTATTTTTATCAATCTAAATATTTCAGTGTATTTAGACAAAATTTAGCACAATACAAATCACATCAAAACAGGCAATAAACTGACTCTGAAGTCACGGCTTTCTGGGGGGGGTAAAAAAAAAAGGGACATTCAACAGAACATATTCCTCCCAAAATAGAAACTGATATCAAAGACTGAATGTGCCTTTATAAATTGAAAGAAGAGGAACAAACAAGTCTATAGACACAACATCCTCTACAGATTTGTTCACATAAATTAGGTGAAAAGTATTTTTGCTACATACACTTACAGCATGTTTCCGGATACAACAGGTTTGCTATAGCAACATACAAATAACAGTTTGCCAAATACCCTCACAATTTAATATAAACACACAGAACAAAAATAAGAAGTTACACATGCCAGTGACTAGACACTGCCTAACTCCCATTTGTTCCAGTTAAGCAGGGCAGAGATCCAACAAGTTTCTGCTGCAGGACAACAGGTACATGGTCAGAGGCTGAAGAATTTAAACCTTCCTTCAGATGTTTTTTTTTCCCCTTTAAACTCACTGCTTGCATTAGAAGTGTCAAAAAGCAGCAGTTCTATATTCTTCTTATACAAGTTGTAGGGAGAATTTTAAGCTTATTTCCCACGCAACTAGAACATGTGTGATGCAGCAGCCTTCTAAAGGACCACTTTATTCCTCTTTCTGTAGCAAGACACAAATACCCTTCTATTAATATTTCCTGAGGGTTGAGAAGCTCTAGTTCTGAATCCTCACTGTGATAGTTGCTGCACACAAGCTGCTAGCACCAGTCCCCAAATTCCTACTGCTTCTTGCCTTAGATTAAAGGGCAAGCTGCAGAAAGAAGGGATTGGACAAAGAGATACACCAAGTCAGCAGTAAGGAACATTTCAGTTTAATCCTCAACAGGCCAACAAGGAGGACTGTAGAGCTTTTGTGCATAACAAAGTTTGAAATTCTAACAACAGTTTTGGTGATACTGGGAGAGAGCTGCAGAAAGTTTAAGGGGAAAGTACAGAAAAGGGTAAAGAGTCATGCACTAGAAATGCTCAGTGGGAAGAACATTGGTACTAATCAACATTCAACTCATCTCCTCTAGTGAAAGAAGAGGACCAGGCAGGGCAGAGATAAGCCCCGGGGAGTCTTGAAAATGACAAATTGCTCACACACTGGATGCAGCAAAGAAACTGGAAACAAAAAGAGGAAGCCAGACAGAAGGTATGGGAACAGGATCAAACCAAGCCCTCTGCAACAGCATTCCCAGTGAACAGGGATCGGGCACGGTCGGATAGCCATGCCATGGTAGCTGAAACACCAGGTGACATCCCACTTCTAGCTGCATACACAGGTAAGAAGGGTGAAGCACAGCATGACACACAGCCTGATTTATGTGCAGACTACCTGCCAGAGATACCACCCACCTCCTACACAAGGCAGCTAGTGATCACAAGGCCTTTACTGCCCTAGCAATCCACAAATCACACAAAACATTAAGTGTGGCCTTCAAAAAAGATGTTCAGAGCTATTCTGAATGGCTTGAACACACTCATCACCTAGAGAGATGGGATCTGAAGCCAGGATACAGATTACAACACTCAATGAGTGACTGGCAGGATGCTAATAGCATCAGTAACAACTGACACAGGGATGACAAGAGACAACAGGAATAGCATCCCTAAACACAAAGCTTTCAGAGGTAGAGCTAAAAATAGATCTCTCTGAAATAA